AAAAGCCATAACGATAGCTATAAACACATTCTATTGGTTTATCAAATACCTTATATATATACAGATTGTTATATGATTAAATTAATTTTAGACAACAGCACATATCTTCGTTGTTCAGTTTCTAAAATGAATAGCTAAATTCGCCTAAATTCGTATTATGGAGTGGATTTCTGAGACATCAGTATTATCGAACCCGGGATCTTAGATAAAGCGGCACCTCGAAACCGACGTGCGAACCACTCGGATACAGAGATCGTCAAACATAATTTTTATATTAAAGTAATTATCTGAATTGCTGTTCTATAAAATAACAGCGTTGAACGCAACGTTGAAAGCACAAAGCGCCTGAGAGCGCTGTCCAAAGTCCAAATAAAACCTACTTTTAAAATGTAATAAAAATCTAATGGTGCCACAGCGTTCAGTTCGACGCAGTATTTTTAACAGAATATTAGATAACATCCAGCTCATATTTATAAAAGTGAATGAAACAAAATTGAGACACAATTAATTTAAAGCCGATTAAAATTAATATTTTTAGTGTAATTAATGTTATTAATCATGGTATTATCCTCTTGTGCAAAACTTATAGCGGACGATCGCTAAGTGGCTCATTTAGACTGTGACTTCCACGTGCGGCGTTCATTGGTCGATCATTCCATATCAATATCATTAATTCGGTCTAGGCTAATCTTATAAATAGTTGTGAAAATTGCAAACTATACAGTCGGTTCGTATAGCGGGGAAACTTTTACTGAGAAGAACCGGCAAGAAAGTAAACAAGGGCTGCTTCTTTGTTTTTTGACTTTTGACCAATGACATAAGCGCGCAATTCGCCAGCACTCCGCATGCTTACCCGATTGACCAATGTAACTGAGCCATTATAACTCTATCTTTGACTCTAGTTGCAACTTTGCAATCTTCTATCTATAGTTATATATAAAAGGTAAATCCGATTGACTTATATATCAACATAGAGCCTAAACAACTGTACCTAGATTTTTGAAATTTGGAAATTTGAAATCCTTTTATGATGTAAGTGAACACGAAGATAGGATTTTTCGAAACTCAACCCCTAAGGGGTTTAAATAGGGGGTGAATTTATATGGAATTTTCTCGTTTCTGGACTAAAAAGTATGAAAATAACGCATGCGGGACCGCTTGCGGATAGCCGTTTCGCGCAGCGTTGTCACAGTATAATGATGTATTGTGTGGTATATAGATTCAAAGGAATAACGCCTTTATTATCTAATTTGTATTTTTATAAAATCAATAGATCATATACAATTTTATTGTTCGTGAACAATAACAAAGTAAAATAAAATAATTGTAAGACCCATGAATCAAAGTTCCCTACAATAATAATCTGAGGACGTGCAAAATCAGTCGATGTCAGTACCTAGTTATTAATGCTTATAATGCCTAGCTATTTAATATAATGTCGTGCGCGTGTGAAGACACCACAGCAATTTTAATTATTATCATTAGACTTGCAACAAATAGTACATATAACAGCACATCTTGATATTACAACTTTTTTTTTACTTAAATATCAACAAATAAGAGTAAATGGACTCATTGTAATAGACGTAGTTCGTGACAAAAATATGCAAGTGCGTACTTTGCATCTCCCGCCACCAGGGGCGCGACCGCCTAAATCTAGCCATGATTCTACTCGTATCTATAGGATACGACAGCTAAGCGAATTATGACGAGACTTCGTTTCAATTAACTAGTTTGTCATTTTTTATTAATAGATAAATTTGGGATAAATGACCTTCGTTCTTAGTTAGTAAAGTATTTAAATGAAAAGAAATATCGACACATCGCTAAGATGTCATATCCTGTGGCTACTAGAATTTATAGTTAAGTAGGTAGATACAGAAGCAGCTCGGTAGCGTAGTGGATAAGCGCCGCGACACACGGTCGTTGTCGTTAAGCAACTTTCGCAAGGGTCGGTCACGGGATGGGTGACCAAAAAAATATTATCTCGAGCAGCTCCATGCTTCGGAAGGCAGTTAAGTAATTAGTCCCGGCTGCATATGTAGTCGTTAATATACGCCAATCTGCATTGGACCAGCGTGGAAGTTCAAGGCCCATGCTCCTTAACCATCCATACGGAAGGCCTGCATGATGATGAGGTAGATACAGAAAGATTCGATTATTATTGAGTGTAATAAAAAATAGGTGATGATAATCAATGGTATTATTTTAGAAATTGCATTCCTTGAATTTGGTAATCTACCTAGATTAATATTATATTTATTGATACCTAATAATATAAATTTTACAATGATATAAGGTAATTATTAAGTTTGATTGGTACTAAATTATGTCACTAGATGGCGCTACCTGCAGCACAAATAAGGAAATCCATTTAACGCAAGTGCTTGTTATTAAAATAATGATAAAGTAGGTATATATTATTAAATAATTTATATTGAATTTCAATGATTTATGGCTCATAAGATAGGGATATAAATATGTGACTGATGTTTACAAGAGATCAATCATAGAATTCTGAATGTATTGGCATTTATTTAAATATTATTATCAATCGAGGCGGAAGTTAATTTATGATCTACCTTTGATCCTGCCCAGTAGGTATAAAATAAAAATATTAAATCCTCTTTAAAGGTTCATATTTATTTTCTATTTAGTACAACTATAAAAATCCTTATTATACCTACCTACCGCTTTAGTAGTAAGAAATATATTTGCATTATAATTGGCAAAAGAAATCATCAAAATCGGCCCTGTGTTAATGAAAATGGAACATAAATACAAAAATAAATAAACATTTATTCAAACTAAAAACCTCCTCTGTATAGAATACGCTAATGACATCTATTATACCATTTCACATCTAAATTGTCATATCATGTAGCTACTCTGCGCAAGATGGCGTATAAGTGTATTATATAGACTTAAAAGTTTTATAGAACAAAAATAGATGGCGTTACATAAAAAAGTTCAGATACATTCATGAAAACTGTATAATAACAAAATTAACTTTAGTGAAATATGAAAAATAATTAAGTTGTAACTAAAAAATAAATAGTTTACGATTTTATGAGTTCGATTTATATTACGCTACTTTTTTGTATAAAGAGTATCTCAAGAAATAAAATCAGCTGTGTGAGCGTTAATCTCAAAATATTACCCCGAATCGAGGGACTTATTTTTATCAATGATCGCGCAAGTACTTAACTCTCTCGCTATAACTGAGGGGTTTGAAAATAAATTATTTTATTAATGAATATATTTATTTTCCATTACGCAATCCATTCGGGCGAATCTACGAAACCTTAAACTACCGGTTCGATACTTTCGTCGTTGTCTTCTTCAAAAATAATAAAATCGTTGGAACCGTGTCTGAGATTCAAATTATTTAATGCTAGTTTAGGTATTAGATGTTTATTACTAGCTATATCTATATGTAAAGGAATAAGATTCCTTTGTTTATTTATAATTTGGCTCATTTTTTAATGTTAGCAGATAGGAGTCTATAAACTGTTGTCCTAATTGATTGAAAGATGGCGCTATCTGGAACAGAATGCAAAATATAAAGCAGAGGCAAAGATAACAATATGATTTTTAATTTTCAATATAGTGCGAAAAGTGAATTATCATTATAGATTATTATTTATTATTGAAGTAAAGGAATCAAAGAACAGACGTCAAATGTCATTTCTTTGATTTTCAGGTAGGTAATACAAAAAAAAAATAAATCCATGGTTCACAGCAACAAATGGGTTTAATTTCTCGATTTCAAAAATTTTGAATATAACATTCACTTTGTCTTATGTATATTCAAAAATTTTAGGTTTTCCTGTTTTCAAAATAGTTTTAGTTGTCTTAATTCGACTTTTTAATTTAGTGAAAGCTATTGATTAAATATGTAAATAATAAAGAAAAGAAATGATAAAAATCAATAAAACATTGTTTAAGTATGGCTAGAATTAGAGCAATACAGTTAGGCGGTCGCTCTGCTGACTTTGATTCAAAAACTTCTGAGTAAATAGACATCGTTTCGAATGGCTGGCTACTAAATTGATAAAAGTACAAAATCACAACTGATTATAATCAATAACTTAAGTTTTTTTACTTTTCATAATCAACTAATAATTAAAAAACTAAAATAGGAAACGAAAATCAATTTAAATACTGTTTAAGACGTGCTTACTTTTAAATACTCGATTCACTAACCAGTGTAAGCCATAGAAACAAATTTGATCATTCTACATAAACGAAAAAAACAATCTTAAATTAGAAGAGAGTGACGATATAAGTTAAGATTCAGGATTTATTTAATTAATCTTTTGAAACACTTGTTTTAAATTAATTAAAAACTTGACATTTATTTTTCTCATTATTCATGTGTCATTCATTATTTTATAATTATATTTTGAGATGCACTTATTAAAAATAATCTTATTTTTCAAACATAATCGAGATTATGTTTTGAACATAATAGAGCGTTAGATTAGATATTGGAAATTTTGTCAGTCGAGCAAAAAGGGCGATTATCTGTCGCTATTTAAAAGAATGGTGGTAAATTGTTATTAGTCTTGGCAACACAGCTAGTGTCATGCCTTCCGTGAGACACGAAAGCTGTTTTATCAGCCTGTGTAAACTTCATGACGGTGATTATTGTTTGAAACATTAACTTCTCGTGCAATAACAATTTACTCTGATACTTTCGTGTTTAACTGAATTATTGGTATTGTATATCGGATGGTAAATAGTGGTGGTACTTTTAGAAATTTAAAAAAACAACGATTGAAACAGGCGTTTCCTGTGCGAAAAAAGCAAAGTGCAACAAGTGGAAAACAGTGTATTTTGACCATTATTACACAATTGTATGACTATTTCAAAATATCTGTGATAATATTGTGGTAAAAATAAAAAAATAAGTGTAGGTTTGATAACTGTGAACAGGCGTTTCTTTAAAACAGAATTGTTATGCTATTGTTTACAACAAAAATGTGCGTTTTAAAATAATGATATCACAAACAAAAAACAGAGTTCAAGCGATAAAAAGTAAATTTGAGAATTTGAACGTTGAAAACGAGAATTTGGTCATCAGAAAAAACGCGAAACAGTTGTGTAAACAAAGAAGCGATGAATGTGATGACAATGAGACCAATGTTTTCGATCAGGAAATCGATTTTAACGAGACAATTAATGAGAAAATCGATGTTGAGTGTTGTAATGTCTCAGTTAAACCTAACACAAGTTATTTGTACAGTAAAAACGATTCAAAACGTAGTTTCATTGGTGCTAAGAAATCTTTAACCAGGCAGTGTAGTGACCCGGGGAAAAAATTGCATAGGAGTCATGCGTTTCGCTGTGACAGAAGCCAGAAAATAGGTCAAAGTCCAAAGAGGCATGGCAGTTGTAATGGACGGTCTGAAACTAGTGATTTCTCTTTAAAAATGGGTGAACGCAAACTGAGCAGAGATCGGCTGAAGCGCTTAGGTAATTTCCTAGAAGACCAAATGAGAAAAGAGAATTTTACAGTGTCGAGTGATATTGTTGTTGATCAAGTCATCGAAGTACCAATGAACTCCATACCTGACAAAGATGTTCCCAAACACATATTAGACCAGTACGCTAAAGTTGTCAAAACAAAAAAAGAAGAGAAGCAGGACACGATGACTGACAGCGGTGTGAGCTCAGAAACTGAGAATTTGGATGATGAAAAGAATAACAAGGTAAAAAAACTCATGACTCAATTTGAAAAGACAGAATCTAAGACTGAAACAAATTTAGAGGTAATGAATGATCTGTGTGCGTCCAGCGAAACTATGCGTTTAGAACGTAAAAATCCACATTTAATTCTTACGGATACATTAAAGAAGGCGCTTAAACAACCGTTGCCTCCAGGTCCTCCTCCTAAAAAACCACCTCGAGTGGTAAATGTGCCAATTGCTGAAAAACCAGAAATACAGAAAAAAGACACAAAAAAGATGCTAGAAAAACTTGAACAAGTATTACATAAAAGAGAAACTCAAAACCAGAATAAAAATAATATTTATGATATAGCTGAAACTGATTTGAGTATTAAAAAACCAAAGGAGATACATTATTTGTGCACTGAAATTTTAGATATAACACAGAGGACTTTACTTCCAAACCACAATGCATCAAATCCGTTAACTAATTGTCTAAATTCATTAAACTGTTCTATTTTAACTAATTCGACTGCTAGTCTGCCCTATACAAGACTAAGTTCTCGACCTAATTCAAATCTTGAACCGATAAAAGACTGCTGTACTTGTAGCGTTGATAGTAATAGTAGATTCAGCACATTCTTGGCTGAGAACAGTCAAGATAAATGTGTTAAATGTAAGTCAAATGATGAGAAACATGATGGTTTCAAGTGTCACTTGAATTGTAAATGTAAAATGGAGAAGTCGGAGTTTTTCATTGACAAAGAACATATTTATGACGAACCATTCAACGAAGAAGTGAAGAAGAATCAATATGGAACATTGAATAGTTTAAAATTAAATGGACACAGTAAAAGTTTGGAAGATATCCGGATACAAAATGATGTAAGTATTATTATATTAATTTGTAACATTTTTTTTAACCTTTATTTTATTCATTAGGTTCCTTATATTTTCTACTAATTTTTTTGAATAATTCTTAGTCCCATTACACTTAAGTTCAATTGTCTTTTCTTTTACATACACTGATTGTGGAGTAGCATGCAATGCAACCAATCATCGGGACTTTATGATTATTAGAACTAAAGTCCTTAGTATCTGAAGACAAATTCTAAAAGTATAAGTTTTGATGAATTTCCATGCGATTTCAAATAATATAGATAGTAATAATGTAATATCAAGCTAACCTAATCTATTCTTGTCATGGTGCCACAATCATTATTGATTTTGTCAGAAAAATATATGTAAAGTTCATCATTAGCTTATTAATATCTCTACAGCTGGCCTTCCCTGTACATAGATGGAATCTGTCAACCACTGATAATACAGCCAGGATAAGGGTTGCTAAGCTTTTTGATATTCATTTCAAAAGCCACTAGTAATATAGTTAGAATGAATTTACTTTTGATTTAATTAATATTTCAATAGAAATTAAGAAAGTTTTTGGTAAATAATCGGAAAAACTTGGCTTTTACACACAATTTTTTTTTTATTTTAAGACACGAAAATCCTGAACAGTGTAGGGTGCCCAGCTTATTTACTCAAATGTCTGGTCAAACAGTCAGGTCTGTCCGTGACTATGTTTATCGATCTGGCAAACTTACACACGAGCGATCCATCTAGTGAATTCCCCGATTTAATCGTAATGTTTTGCGAGTAGTTAATTAATAAACAAAAACTTGGAAAAAAAAGTAGAACCGACTTCAAACTTAAAAAAGTGAAAAGCAATACTTATCTCAAAAGTGACTTATTCAAGATACTATTACAGTCGAGCGGATGTTTTCTGTTGGTTATTAATTAAATAAAAGATGCCCGTTTTCAGTAGCATCTTCTTGAATAAGTCGCTTTTGTGATAAGTATTGTTTTTCACTTTTTAAGTTTGAAGTAGGTCCTTTTTTCAATTTTTATTTCACGCTTTTTAGTGATATTGATATTGATATTTTTTATATAATGGGTAACACTAAAAATACTTTTCTCAAAACCGAGTGTGAACCTCCATTTTTTTAGTTGTTTGATACGCCCAAAACCTTCTTCTAAGTCTGTCAAATACTATGCTGAAAACCGCATCAAAATCAGTTCAGCCAAACGCGAGATAATCGCGCACAAACATTTTTACACACATACATACACACAGGCCAAACTCAGAACCTCCTTCTTTTGAAGTCTGTTAAAAAATTGTTCTGACACTCAATTTCACGAGCCATCATCTATTTGTCTTATTGACTGACCTGATGATTGCGTCTCTTTCTATCTTTCTCTTTATGCCTCGTCTTAAGACGAAACGGTTCGTATGACTAACACAGACGGTAGATCAAAATATATTGCCTTGTTCAGTTGCTTCGAATGAACGAACTTCTTAAACCTAAGACAATTAACATCCCCAATAAATATAAACCTTTGCCACTCATAAAATAAGGTGTAGTTTAGATTAACATTTCCATAAAATATGATATGAATGGCGCATTATACAGCTTAATTTAGAACAATGAACTGAAATTGCTCTCATTTCGTGTTCATTAGTTATTAAGTAAGAACAATTGTTATGTTATTTATCTTATTATTACTAGGCGCGTTTATTAATCATTACAGATACAAAGAAAATCTGGGTTTAAAAGTATATAAAGTATGGATATGATCATTGATCAGATGATCCATCCTCCCAATACGAGAAGGTTTTCAGAAAAGACAAATCGATTTAATGTAGGTTATCATATTATTTTTAAAACAGCCGCCTAAGGTGCTAATATTTGGGGGGCGGCATTACACGGCAAATGGATTGTTTGTTCCAGCCCTAAAACTTTCGTTCTCTCGATCATGAGTCCATGTCCGAGGTATTTAAAAGTATAAAATTTTCAGACCAGCGTTACTTAAGTAATTTCTTTTGTCATTAGCAAAATACACTTACAAATTTGTGTAACTACATTATTATTACATAGTGTTGCCATAAATATTTAATAACATAAAAAAAACATACTTTTTTTTATTGGACGTTACATTTATTACTATCACGGTGTGTTAGTTTAATATTTTAAATAAAAAACTAATAAAAATATATATAGCTTATTCAAAGTGGTCTCCATTGGATGCAATACTGTCCTTTCAACGTTGAGGCCAGTTTTCAATAGACGCATGCAATCTATGGGAACATTCTTAACTGCCAATCGTTTGGCTTGTTTTAGGGACTCCAAATTATCACGGCGTTTAGAAAAGCGTTACAGAGAGTAACGCTTTTTTTTTAGAGAAAACTGATCATAAATCGTCTTGATTATTGAGAGAGTAGAGAGTTCCAGGTGCTATCCTCATCTCCCGATATAAAATCTTTTGCTTTCGGACAGGACCTCTTCGAATTATGTCCCTTCCTGCTTTCATCACCTTTTTTGTAGGCACACTACGTGGACGGCCAGATCTTTTTCCGTCACCAACAGAGGAGGTTTCATTGTACCTATCAATAGCCCGGTACGCAAACATTTGACTATAACAAGCGTATGGAGTATTATGAAAGTTGTGTTTGGCTCCATACTGACTTTATGTAATGCAATCACAGCGATGCGGTACTTTTTATTGCCCCACTCGAATTTGATTATCACAAAATCTTTTACAATGTATTGGCGCAAAAATAAGACAAGATACTAAAACAATTAAACAATCATATAAATATAACAGATTCAAAATTCAAAAGTAATATTCTGTTTATTTTTAATTCTAACAGTATTTATGGACAGACTAAGTATATTTAATGGTATTAGTTTTGCCTAGGGCGCCAAGCTTCCTTAAGCCGGGGCTACGTGTACTCGCCAAATAAAGCTACCTTTTGAATCAACCTGTATATTGATAAAAAATAAAAGATCTCTGCGAACAGACAGTGGGCCGCTGCTTCGTTTGGTACTGTGTGTGTACATACGGATACTTAACGTACATAATATATACGTATAGGTCCATAACCTAGAATAATTCAGTGAGAGCTTTAGCTTCAGTGGAAATGTTAATTACTATATCTTGCTGTGTATATAAAACTCGATGACGAACACAGCGCTGTCATAGCGGATGGTTCAATCGAATAAAACTTGTCTGAAACGTTAAATAAAGGTTTTATTTCATTGAAGCTTTATGTCGTAACAACGTTGAGCTCGACGTCGGGACTGTTTCGTAACGGGATACCATAGTACGTCCCCGATACCGAAAAAATACGTAAGCGTGTCAACAAAGACATTTGCACTGTATCTATCTGCTCCCACGATAAATTTTCTAAATACCTAAAATAAAAAGTTTAATTTTAACTTGACATTACAAGTTGTTAATGGTTTCCGCCGACAAAAGCCTTTTACCATAGTTCTTTAGATACGTCTTTGTTAACTATGGGAAGTTTTTAAATAGACATTCTTGCAATTGTCGGTTTGAAAATATAAAAGATCAATTCTAAAGATTTCACTGGTTAATTACAAATTTAGTATTGGATAGTGTTATTATCAATGCCAATATTAAGTAAGTTTAAGTTAATACTCTATGATGGAGGAGCTCGGTGGTGCAGTGGCTAGCGCGACCAGTCTGCGTTGTTAAGTAACTTTCAAAATGGCTGGTCTTGGGATGGGTGACCAAAAATTTAGTATCTCGAGCTCCTCAGTACATCTGCAGTCGTTAATATCCGTCAATAGAAAAATATTAGATACGTATTTCTTTTACTTCAATTTAACAAGAAATAGCTTAGATAATAGAGGTGGTAAAGTTGAAGAATGGGGGCTACGTCACAGTTTTGTAGAAAATGTACAAAGGCGTCATGTCACGTTTTAACTCAATATCGCGTTTATTTAATGATTACAAAAAAATACATATCTAATATTTTTCAACAATCTTCCTGACGGACAGAACGTCAGGACGTTATTCTAAATTATCCCAAAAAGCTAGATAGGTTTCTATGTCCATCACCCTGTTTCTGAATTGACAATAATTTTAAGTTAATGTTAAGGACACAAATTCTACTTATTCGTTACTTAAACAGTCTTTCAACAGTCATTATATTTTTATTTAAAACACTTGGCTTGTTTCGTCACCCTTGCTCACAGTTCTCCGGAGTGAACTAGCTTAATTCAAGTGATGGCTGTCATGGCTTTTTCAATTCCTTACATATGACTGCAATTTGTCAACAAAAACCATTAAAAATAATTGCGACTAAATTTTACCAGGCAACCCCGTTCTAATCTATTCTACTATCGTAAATCTATCATAAAAATAAGCTGTATCAAAACCAGAGAACTGTAGATTCATTCAGCGGGATCTATAATCACACATGTGTCCCTTCTTCATCGTAGATAGATCGCTCGCTGTATATATGTTTGGACCTTTCACGCGGCCCATATTATTTGGAACCATTTTAGAGATGTGCCAGGGATGAGCGACGTCTGCATACAGTGCCCGCACTAAGCATATATTACTTTTTCTTTCCTCTATGTTTGATTTATTATTTATCTCCTGGTTTGGTAATTTTTTTAGTTAGTATTATCATCTTGTGCCTGAGATCTCACGGCGATGTCGGGTATTGATTGTATAATGCAAGATCTTATAAACTATGCCCACACCGGCCGGAACACTCGACGTACTGCCATTGGAGTGCAATTCTCGCAGACCGTTCTCCTCGTAATATATCCAACTATCAAAAACTGCCACCTCATGACATTAAATAACGTCCAATTTGCAGTAGCCATCATTATTGTGTCGTTTGTTAGAGTCGCCATTATGTGTCACTTTCTACCGGGCTTTGTTGTAGCACCTGCAAACTGTACATTACGGAAGGAAAAATATTTTATTTCTAATAGACTAATATAGAGTTTATTTATTTAAACGATACACACAACCACTTCCGATGTGCTTATGGAGTATGAGTATGTAGTTTGACACTCGACAATCAACATTTAATAGACATTTAACTATAGCATTTTATCTTACTGCCGATATCACATTTGTTTATTCGTTGATTGTTATTAGAATCTATTAAGGAAATAAGAATTATACAGTTTAATGTTATTTGAATATAATTTGTTTTTTATAGCTAAAAGGATAGATAGATTGGACTCTTATGTTCTATTGTGTAGAATGTGTTCAGAAAATTCATGTAAATAAATGTTTGTTACTTTTCATATTATATGTCTTTCGTAGCGTGTTCTCCAGTGTTAATATTTTCTTTGTTGTCTATAGGTAAATTTATAAAATATCTATTAGATGTGATTTTACAAAAAGTGATCTCTTATAGGCAACTTTGGGAATTTGGGATAGATTTAGATATTAAAGAAAAATCTAACGATGAGGTAGTTGGATGGTGTAGTGTACATTCAAGTAATTTAATCATCACCATCACATCACCATCAGCCCTTTTACGTCCCCACTGCAGGGGCTCAGGCCTACCTTATGGATGATTAAGGAGGATGGGCCATGACCCTCCACGCTGGCCTAATGCGGATTGGAGGGTATTAACGACTGCAAATGCAGCTGGGACCAACGGCTTACCGTGCCTTCCGAAGCACGGAGTAGCTCGAGATAATAATTTTTAGGTCACCCATCCCGTGACCGACCCTTGCGAAAGTTGCTTAACGACTACTATCGCGGGCCGCGGCGCTTATCCACTACGCCACCGAGCTACTTAATAATTTAATAACTGTAGAGAAAATGTTATATTATGCAATCAATGAAAAAAACTTGTTTGTATTGTATGCATTAGTTTTCTTTGTACCCATAAACTACCTTTAAGAAGTATTATTACATGAAGTAAACAAACAATTAAATTTCATTATAATTGGTATTTTATGAAACTTCTTACCTGTAAAATAACGTCTTTACATACCAAGAAAATTTGTCATACTTTTTATCTTTTTATTTCAGTTAATCACAAAGTATTCACACTAACTATTGATTCATCTTTGCCTTCACAGTATTTTCCTACTAAAAGGTTACCCAAAATACGGAAAAAGTAGAAAAGGTTTTTGTTTTGGGTTTAATATATTGTTTCGGATGTAGGTGTTGTGGGTTCAGATTGTGGGCCTCATAACTAAGATCAAAGTCAGATGGCAATGGAGAGGGCTATGCTTAGAATTTCCCTGTGTGATCGAATATGAACTCAGATTTGAGATCCGCAGATGAACCAAAGTAACCAGTACAGCCCTAATAGTGAGCCTGAAGTGGTAAAGGGCAAATCACATAACTCGTAGGACAGCTGTGGTCGTTAGGACACTAATGTCCTCGAGTAGCGACCAGCTGTTGAACGCAATCGCGACAGATCGAAATTGCAATTGTGCCACTCCGCACCCTTGATTGGGTCACTACATACTCTGGGGCTAGTGTACCCAATCAAAAGTACGAAACGGCACAATTGCAATGTCGATCGTTCGCGATTGCGTTCGAGAGTAAGGGGACAGGTACTGGAAGATGGAGCGTAGGCAGCCCTCCTACAAAATAGATCGAGGATGTGGCCAGGGTCGCCGGGATGCCTTGGATAGTGGAGATTTTTGAAGGTCTTTGTCCAGCAGATACATCTTCCGGCTGATATGATGAACCAAACCAACCAGGTTGATGAGACAACCTCACAGACATGGTATACTTATTTAATCATTCATTTAGGGTAGCGATTTGTCTGGATACATTTACCTGAAATTATTGCAAAAGGTACCTTTCATAAAATGTAGGCTTTTACACAAAATATAATTATTTAAAGGTGTCGCTTCGTTTCCCTATCGAGTCATTATAGAAAATAATTTTTCTTTATTATTTCGAGATTGGGTGTTATGGTACTTTCGTTGTTTCAGATTTCCATAATGCTTTTGCTACTCGGTTTCGGATTTGAGCGAAGTTTATAACTTAGGTCTGTGGTCCCGAAGTACCAGGCTACTATGACTAAAAAGGAAGTTAATTGTTGTTTTGTTGTAAAATTGTTAATTCGTGTAATGACCGAATCTGCAGCTAGCTTTGTTTAAAAGTTATCTGGCGATAAGTCTAATTAAATTTTCAATTCAAAAGAAACTCGTTCGTTCTCACAGGGAAATAACCCCCGTGTCAGAAATCTGAGTAATATCCGTCGGTGCGTAACGCGTACACTGACACGCACTGCTGTGCAGACACGATGCACGAACAAAGACGACACAGAGTCACTAAAATAGACCGTTTGAAATCACTTTATATATTCATTCATAACTGAGAGTGACATGACTGTGACTGTTTTCGGTACCGAACTACATTTTACCTTCGTGTGCGTGGATCTTGTATATTTAGAACTAGATATATTTTTCTCCGAGCTTTCATTAATCTTAATCTTTTTTAATCGTTATAAAAACAAGTAGTCAGTCTTTATCTCCATAAAGTTATATTTAATTTTTAGTAAGGACTACCTAGACGTTTTCCCACGAACGTAGTTTCGCGTATGTAATAGGTCCAGGATTACTCACACTT